CAAGGGCTCATGAGGGAGGGGGGAGCGGGGAGGGAGGGAGAAAATGAGGAGCTTATTTCAGGAGCTCAGGTGGAAAGAGAATGTTTTGAGAATGATGAAGGCAACAAATGTACAAATGTGCTTGACACAATGGATGGATGGATGGATTGTGATAAGAATTGTACCAGCCCCCAATAAAATGATTTAAAAAAATTATACATCCAGCTTTCTTATTTTCGATTATCCAAAATCCTTGTGCTAACAAGCCACCTAAAGAATTGTCTTATTATTCTTCAACCTTCTGACATCATCAAAATGAATTAAATCACAAATTTCTAACCAAAATCTAAATAATTAGACAGGGAGGGCAGGTCATCTTTTGTGAACTACTCACTGTAGTGGAAGTGAGCCTACTCACAGGGACGGCAAAGAAAGAACGGCCCCTCTCGTGTCCTAGACTGACAGTCCTCACAGAATCAGACTGCAGCCACGGCCCTGCTGCTTTCTGATTCCACGGTGAGCACTTTCACTACGGTGTCACCAGGATTCTAGCACTTCTGGAGGAGACATACATACACATACTTTGTCTATGGATAAAATATAACTAAGCAGAAACTATGAACAATGAGTGTACAACAATTGAGACATTTACTCTTGCTCACACATTCTTGTGTTTGCACACACTTCTGTATAATAGAGAGATAAAAACAAAATAAGAATTTGAAATTCCTGAATTACATCAAAAATTGATTTAATTTACATACATTTTGGAGCCTCTTTATAACCAATGTTTTTTCAAAACTTTAACCTAAAATGCTAATCGATTTAGATATCATATATGTGCCCAGTTTTAAAATTCGTAGCAAATAAATTAAGGATTTATTTGCTGACACTGTCCATATCTGCCACCTCCATCAATGAAAAGATAGTACCAATCAGGGAAAACAAAGCAGCACTAATCAAAAGAGAGATTACATGTTCCTGATCCGTGAATTTACAATCAAAGAGAGAGCAAAGGAGGCCTATAATCCTAGAAAAAGGAAAACTCGCATTACATAATTACATGAACTTCATATTAATATACATATTTAAAGTTGATAACACAATATTATGAAGTCTATTCCAATCCCAGGACAAAAGACTGTCTACTCTGACATAAAGCAGGGAGGCGGCCAGGACCCAGTGCTGCTCTCTACTACAAGGTTTCATGATTTAATTTTCATGTTGTTTTTTTGTTTTTTTTATTTCATGCAGGCATGCCCATCCTACCACTTATGAAGGAACTGAAATTAGGTTCAATGATTTTCTGACAATTTACCCCTTAAACCAGGTTATATAAAGCACATAAGTGATTTATACTTAATATCTCTTTGAGAGTTCAATTGTAGTCAGTTTCAAATCATTTGCTCCAAAGCTCTTGAAATAATCTGTGAGAAGTATTCACATTCTAAAATTAAAACTTAGTAATTTTCTGATGATCTAACTTGATTAATATACAGCACCGAACGAAAGTAATAAAATGTCATATGACCTATTAATTAAAAAACTATGAATTCATAATACATGTTCTAAAGGTTAGTATAAGAAATAACCACATGAAGATGCATATGTACCCTTAATATTTTTGTTGTCGAAGCTATTGCCCCACATTAAATCAGTGGCCCTTATATTTAAACACAGATTATCCTTCTTGTTTTACTCTTCTACTCATTCATTTGTTCATATAGCTCATCTCCTTAGGAAGGCATTCATGACCTGCTAGTTGTCGGTGGGTGCTATGGAGTGTGTTCTGACCCACCATAGCTTTCTGCACGACAGACCAAAATACTGCCCCGTCCTGGCCATCATCACGCCTGAGGCCACTGTTGCAGCCAACGTGGCAATCCAGCTCCTTGAGGACGTATTGCTAGACGTACTGCCAAATGTTTTACCAAAACACATTTAATTTTTAAAGATGCTCATAAAAATAAATACCTAAAGCAAGACACCTGGCACAAAATGAAGACTAAAAACGTTAACTGTAAGCATTATGAATATTATTAACAGCTATTATCATAACTTTGAAAATAGGAGTACTTTCTATTGACAACAATCCTTTTCTGCTTTTGCAAAAAAAAGCTACCTAGAAGTTTCAAATGATAACATAATAATGTTAACATTAATTAACATAAAACGTTAATTTTATAAGTCCTTCCAAAGATATTTTAAAACATTTTCTTTTTTTCCACTAGATATCGAGCACTGTGTTCAATCTAGATATATAGAAATCAACACAATACATTCTTAGAAACATCTGAGATTTCTATACAAATTCCACTGTCCATAGATAAATACTTTGACTAATAAAGGCAAGCGTCTCCTATGGACAAACACTATAATAGCTAATTGTTAAGATGTTCTGCACTGAATTTAATGGCTACCAAAGAGGTTCAGTTATCAATTCGTTTGGGTATATAAGTACTCATTTGTTCATTTATCGTTATTCCTTAAGGGCTTAAAAAAGCACGGATGCAGCAAAGTTTCATTCTATTGTACAGAGTCGCTCTGCATCTCTGTGTTGAAACCTTCTAGACAGCACCTCATAACAACAACAGAGACATAAACAGGCTGACTTCAGGGAGCAATTTAAGCAAGAAAGTAATTGGCAAGAACTAGGAAGACAAGAACAAACAAAATGATAAATTTCTGAAAGCCTAAGTGGTGGCTTGTTCCAAGTATGAGGAAAGGCTGTGGAATTTGAGTCGGAGGAGAATCTTAAAGAATGGGTAGCCTTTAGGTAGCAGGTGATGCAAGAGAACCCACAACCACTGAGTTGATTTGGACTCCTTATGGAAGGAGAGCCTCCGCTTTCTCACAGGAAGTGACTGGTAGGTTCAAATTGCTGATCTGTAAGTTAGCACCCACTTCACCACCAGGGCTCTATGTAAGAGAAAGGCAGGCTTAAAGAAACAGGAAGCGACTGTTTCTTTAGTACGTTCTTCAACAGTGCAAAAGAATTACATTAAATATCAGGATAAAGAAAATGGTAGAATTAGTTGAAGTCGTCACTGAAAAGGAGGCCTAGGGAAGGTGCAAATGCTTAGAAGTGGTAAGTGGTGAAATGGGAATTCAATCAAGACCACCGAAGAGGCCCTCCAGAGTTATGGCTGGAGAAGAGCAGAGGCCAGACACAATCCTAGCGAGGGGAAGCAGTGACCTGAAGGCTGAGAAACGGAAGTCAAGTCCCAGCGATGGGATTCCCCCAAATCAAAGGTCAAAAGGATGTTGAGATAGTCA